TTTGATTCAGTAGAAATATCAGCCGTCATGCAGACACTGCGGAATCAGGGCATAGATGAAGTATATATAAACATTCTGGAAGAAATCTACAGGGGATCAACTGCTACCATAGTGCTTCATAAAGAAAGCAACAGAATACCAATCAAGAAGGGTGTAAGGGAGGGGGACACAATCTCCCCAATGCTATTTACCACCTGCTTACAGGAGGTTTTCAGAAGCCTAGAATGGGAACAGTTAGGGATAAGAATTAATGGAGAATACCTTAGTAACCTGTGCTTCGCCGATGACATTGCATTGCTGAGTAACTCAGGGGACGAATTGCAACTCATGATTACGAAGTTACACAGGGAGAGCAGAAAGGTGGGTCTTAAAATTAATCTGCAGAAAACTAAAGTAATGTACAACAACCTCGGAAAGGAACAGCGCTTCGAGATAGGTAATAGTGCACTTGAAGTTGTAAAAGACTATGTCTACTTAGGGCAGGTAATAACCGCAGAGCCTAACCACGAGATTGAAGTAACTAGAAGAATAAGAATGGGATGGAGCCCATTCGGCAAGCACTCTCAAATTATGACAGGTAGATTGCCATTATCCCTTAAGAGGAAGGTATATAACAGCTGTATCTTGCCGGTACTTAGCTACGGAGCAGAAACCTGGAGACTCACAAAGAGGGTTCAGCTTAAATTGAGGACGACGCAGCGAGCAATGGAAAGAAAAATGGTAGGTGTAACCTTGAGAGACAAGAAGAGAGCGGAGTGGATTAGGGGACAAACGGGGGTTAAGGATATCATAGTTGAAATAAAGAAGAGGAAATGGACATGGGCCGGGCATGTAGCGCGTAGACAGGATAACCGCTGGTGATTAAGAGTAATTAACTGGATTCCCAGAGAAGGAAAATGGGTTAGGGGGAGACAAAAGGTTAGGTGGGCAGATGAAATTAAGAAGTTTGCGGGTATAAATTGGCAGCAGCAAGCACAGGACCGGGTTAACTGGCGGAACATGGGAGAGGCCTTTGTCCTGCAGTGGACGTAGACAGGCTGATGATGATGATGATGATGAGGGGCCCCAGGGGTGGGGACATTGCATAAGGGGGCGATACACTAGGTACATTCACATATACATGTGGAGTTGGCAAAAATACATAAGGAACGATACTATTGCAATAGAATAAACAGAAAGCATTATAAATAAATATATACATGTAAAGATGATGCACGCATGCAAAGAATAAGCGAAAGTGTGCATTTATTGAGCACAAGAACGGAGCGGTTACATGTCACAGCTGCAACAATCTTAAAATGAGTTCATGTTTTACAAAATAAAAACTAATACCATGCGCGATGAAGATAAAGAAAACAATACATTTCATAGCGGCAATACAGCGGGGTGAATAATAAAAGGGGATAGGTGGGATAACTGCCAGTCAGAAATAGCTCATCTAATGAAGCATACGAGAAATTTGCTTTGATGATGATGTAGGGCAAAAAAGTTCCCAAAATTTATCCTTGCGCTACGGAAAGGCATCTACTCGGTGAAGTTTGTGAAGTGGCTCGATAACATATGACGGAATGTTTCATGATTTGACTCGGCAGCAATGTAATCAGGCAAACCATTCCAGAGAATAATGGCACGTGGGTGTGCCGACTTGTTGATCACATTTGTAGAGCAGTATGTATGGGAAGCCGTTTGCTTACAACACTGCGATCTAAGAGAGTACAAGGTTCCCCCCTCTTTGGTTGCTTCATGGTCGAGAAACAATTATGATGCTGGTTGCCATGCTCTTACCTGAAATGACCGAAGTTACTACTGATGCACACGATTTTATCCGCCCTGCTGACGCAGCTTGCAAGCTTGCACTTGAGCGGATCCGAAAACAAAAACGCATCGACTCGCAGAGGTACAATAATCGTCACCGTTATGTTACTTACCAGCCCAGTGATCTGGTGTGGCTGTGGATTCCCGTTTGCCAAAAGGGCCGCTCAGAAAAGTTACTTCACCACTACTTCGGTCTTTATAGAGTATTACACCGCCTCAACGACGCCAACTACCAAGTTCTGCGTGAAGACACACCTCGGCGATCCCGTGGTTCCAGCAGGTGGACATTGTTCATGAATCGAGGATGAAGCCAAACTACCTTCGAACATCTTGGCGCTGGTGCATCATGTGTGTATGTTAGTGGGCGATTACTCTCAGTTCCACTCAGCATGAGCATAGTGACGATATACTTGTTAGCTTTTTTTAAAGGGGAGGTAATGCTGCGGGCGTGAAACGGGATTGGGCTATGTCATTGCCTGTATGTGCCATTGTGTGTGAAAAAAAAAAAACAGAGGACAAAAAACGAAAGTGGACAATTAGCTGGTATTTCTGGTGATTGGTTCGACTCGACGTCTAGTGCTCCTGTGTGCAGAAGTTCCGTTTTATCTATAATCACGTGACAATATCTAATACTCTTCCTGTTTGGGATGACTTAAAGTGCAATCACCTAAAGAAAATAGGTCAATGCCTCAATGTAAAAGTGGTTTTCAGTGCTACTGACAAGTTGTCCCAGTTGTAAGACAGGACCTGCTCCATAAAGGGGTGCGTTAAACTGAACGTGGTCAAGCACATGATGCAGTTTGTCAACTGTTTGCAGGGTGTGACGACGAACAGGACCGCATTGTCTTGCCATGTATGTTACGAGGGCCTGGCGAGCAGATGCCTAAATGAAAACTTACAAAAACCCGCCAATAATGTTTGTGATGGCAAAGATGGCTTCCTGGCATTACACGAGAGAACGTGTGGGTGCACTCCGCAGTTCGGAAGGATCACAGTTCTGGATAAGATTAAAGAAGAGCACGCCCGTATGATCAGCGAAGCTGCACAGATGGTGCGTGAAAAGATTGTGTGTATATAAGCAAGTCATCAATTGCACCATCAGACAGAGAGTTCTGCTTCTTGGAATGAGAGGGTCTCCGCAGTAAGCCACAATGATTGTTCATATTTTTAGTGGTTTCCTATCTTTTCATTGGTTATCCTGGCCATTTTTCACTGTTCCTCTCTTTTTCTTTTGACTGTTCGCTAGCCTATTTATAAGAGCTTTCTCATGTTAACTGTTTGCTCGCCTATTTATAGGAGCCTATTTATAAGAGAGAAAGAAGAGGAAAGCCAGGAGGTTAATCAGATATTGGCATTCGTTTTGCTACTCAGCACTGGTGCTGCTGAAATAAGGGGGAAAAAAGGCGGTTAAAATATCAGTTGGTAGTCTGCGCTTGTGCCGCCTGCTTCTTGTCAGAGTTCTTTTTTTTTCGTGCTGTTATTTTTAGTCAACTTTTAAAGGCGAAGCTTACGATTCTTCTAATATCCGCCTCTATTATTACATGTATACGGGCCCAGTTTCTATCTGAACAGCTGCTGATGGCTTCCTGCAACTAGTAACATGTTTGTTTTCGTATGCATATTCACGTTTTCTAGGCAAGCGACTTGTTTTTTTTTTTTTATCCGCGTTCAGAGTCCATCTGTAATTTACCGTGTTTTTTAAGAATATGCCATACTTCTGCGAGCCATACTGCAAGACAAGCACCAAGACAAAAAAGCTTGGTGTAAGCTAGCACGAGTTTCCAGCAGATAAAACTATCCGGCGAAAGTGGCTCAAAGCCGATCCAGCAAATCGAGCTTACGCAATCATCGACAGATGGTGCTGTACATGTTAAATATCCGCTATTACTACACACATAAATGCCACGAGCTGGTGCAAAGTATGAAAAGTAGCAGTGGCGCTATCTATTGACATGCAAGTAAAAATAGACCCCCTGCGCGGTGCTAATCTAGTTGCCAGAATGTTATCACGTTGCCGTGACGATGTTGCCAAAAGGAGCAGTTGGCATGTTGAGGACTTAACGCTTTATTTGTGCGACAAAAAATGACAAATTACAAGCAATGCGCGCTGTAGACTGATAGCAGCATTGTCTATGATACATCAGCGGTACGCATTGTCTCTCATACAGTAACCACCAAATCACTGACAGCACCAGCGTTAACGCTGATGCTCTCGAATAAACTTATTTGAGCTACAATAATCACCAAGCTTCTTGAAAGCAGTGCAGTCTGTGCAGAGCGTTGTGAACAGTCTTTTCGGGTGAAAACCCCATACATAAAAATAAACAACACACAACAAGGCAATATTCTAGTTCAGAGGGTAAGGTTGGGATCTGCACATCAGCATCGGAATTGGATTATATGGCCAAACTGCAGCTGGCCATTTCTAGCTAAAATTAGAGCAGCTGAAAAAATTTCGAGGTTCTCCGGACATTTTTGAGCAGTGTGGCAGAATTTCTACTCATTTCACTGTTCACTCCGCTTGGTGCCATAGACACAGATCTTGTGCCCCTGGAGTAATCTGATAACAGATTTTATCTAGTACTGTTTATCTAGACTTACGAGCTAAAAATCGTGCTGAGACAGCGGTCTAGAACAGTCAAAAGACAAGCACAACAAACTCTAATTATCTCGGCTGCACCTGCATGCAGGCCCGGGAGAACTTACTACATCCATTACACAATCAATGCCATGTGATAGGCAAAACAGGCTGCGCACAAACCATTAACGGCACGTATACAAGCTATAATTCAGGAGCATCACTTTTTAATCATTTAAATCAAGTGGATTAAGTGCACAGAAAGGGCTTGTGAATGGTGCAAGTTGCTATAGGGAGACAAAAACATATCTGTCAAGTTCACTTTACCCACCCTTAAATGCACAGATGTGATCACTCAGGTTAATCGGAAGCCTGTGGCTCCTCTCTAGTATTGTAGCTTACAAGGTGGAGGGCGGTTGCTTTCAACCACATTCCCACGTTAAGTTCCGAATCCGGGACTAGCAAAAACTAGTGCTTTTCACTGTCTCATTCGTGATGTTGATGCAGAATGCCAATGAGGCACAGGAAGTGGTCAGCATAGAGACAAGTCATGTTTCAAAAAATGCCTAGAACATCGCTAAACATAGATGTAAAACAAGCTACTTACGGAACGATGTGGCACCGATTGAGTTCTGCGAGTGGGAGCCAGGCGCGAATACCTCCGACACGAATTGGCTCGTCGGATTGCAACGCCTTGACGACGGCCACACGGTACCGGTAACTGCGCCACATGGCCAAGTGCCGTGCGTGGAACCAGGCAGGCACCTGCAACACGTCGCGGATGCTGCGAAGCAAAACACTTGGTAGTTGGAATAGTATTAAAGACTACCCCCCAAAAATACAGAAAAACATTTTAAATATTACAAAAAACAAAAAGACACTGAGGCACGCTAAGGATTAGATTTTAGTGGTCTTTAATGCAAATCCTGCGCAACGAAAATGAAAATAAACATTTCAGAACAAAAAAAAGGAAAGACGCAAGGCATGCACAGAACGCGCAGCATAGTCGCAGCGTAAGTTGGAAAAGTGGCCTTCGTAAAGCGATTTTCATAGGCACAGTTGCGAGGTAACCACATTAAGCAAAATAGCGAAGTGGCCACTGCACGTTTTTAAGGCTATATATATATTAGCATACCTGCATACATTGTTTTTCACAAGGAGGAAAAAGTCACCCGAGGGCATGCTCATCAGCAACGTCAACGCAACAGATTGGTCAGAAAAAGGTCTGTGGCACGCGACCCGAACGGTCAAGAAAAATTCCAGAGGATGATCTGGCACTGTGCTGTGGTCTGAAGCTCCGAGCTGCGAAGATGTGGGAAACCAGCGTCGCTACGACAGGAGCAGCATAGGCGCCTGGTTCTAAATGATGTCAGCATGAGAGGCCCAGAAAGTGGCCGTTGACCTCGAAGGTGCTCCTGAGGGAGGCTGCCCAGACTTGCCGCACCCTTGCCCAGCTGTTCCTGGTGTACTTGCAGCTACCCCACATCGCGCTAGGACGGGAGCAGTCCACACCAGTCAGCAAAGTGGACACATCAGCAGGAGAGTCCATGACGAGCTAAGGCTAGCAAGGCTGAAGATTGAGAGGAGGACCGGCACACTGGCGATGAGGACGAGCAGTGCGTTTGGCGAGATCAATTGACGGAGAGCCCAAGAAGTGGACCAGCCCGTTAACTACAAACACTCGACTAAGTGTCGACACAGCAACAGGCAACGAGTCACAATGTGACGAACTGTAAGAACATTCAATTGCTGGCACCATATTGGCTTAAAGCTAGCGGCTAGCACTAGTAATGGATTTGGACCACGACCTACTGTACTCCCATGTGTACTCTTGACCTGCCCAGATAGCCCCTCTCCAGCGCCCACGTCTAGTTTGTACCTTCTGCTACTAGGCCCATTATCTACGAGCGGCGTGGCGCTAGCCAGGCCCTGTGCGCTGGCGTCACTTTCAGCATTTGTGCTCATATTTCAGCCAACAGAGCACTCATAGTACGTGATTATTATGCCCAAACAAAAAATATTTCAGAAATATATATACTAAAAGATTTAGAAATTGTTTGCAATAGCAGCACTACTTGAAAGTAGTGTTGCTATTTAAATCTGGTGATCGTTCATCCCCGCTTAATTATAGACCCACATCTTTAACTAGTGCCATATGTAAACTTTTGGAACACAATATACACTCACAGGTAATCTCCTATTCAGAGGAACACAATATCATTTTTAAATACCAGCATGGTTTTTGCAAGGGCTATTCATGCGAAACTCAACTTGCAGGATATACTCATGACTTGCACTCATCATTGGACGCCGGCATTCAAATTGATGCCATATTCTTTGATTTTTCAAAAGCATTTGATCGTGTCCCGCACCATCGGCTCTTACTAAAACTTAGGCAGCTTAATATTCACCCACTTGTTCTCGCCTGGCTGCAAGCCTTTCTTTCCAGTAGAAAACAATTCATGTCTGTCGATACTCTCCTTTTGTTGAAGCCTCATCTAGAGTTCCCCAAGGAAGTGTGATTGGTCCCTTACTTTTCCTTATTTATATTGCTACATGAATGCAAATTGAGATCCTAGGGGGCGACGCGCGGGTGTGCCTGACGAGAAAGACGAAGGGTGGTCTCCGCCCGGGGTCTGGTCTACCGGGCACGCTGCTGCTGCTGCTGGTTTGAAATATATTTCATCCACAGTCTCATCGATACGGCGTTTCTCTTCCGTAACATATTTGGTAAAGGTGGAACGTTCCCCATCCTCACCACGAAGCTTCGCAGTGGCCGCACCGTCCAGCCTACGGCCATGGCTTCTAATGATAACCCCCCTCACCGCCATCACTTGGAGCGCCAGCTACTACGTACCTTGCGATGCCCCACCGCCGTGATCCCGGTACGTTCTTCGCCCAGCCTGGCCTTGACGTCGACTACTGGCTCCGCATGTACGAGCGCGTTAGCCTGTCTCACCGATGGGACCCAACCATGATGCTCGCCAACGTAATCTTTTACTTGGATGGCACCCCGCATATATGGTTCGATACTCATGAGGCCGAGCTCACCAGCTGGGACATCTTCAAGGACCGACTACGCGACACCTTTGGGGACCCGTCCGGTCGACAAACGGCCGCACAACAAGAACTGGCCACCCGAGTACAGTCATCAACCGAGTCGTATGTCTCGTACATACAGGACATCACATCATCACATCACTTTATTTCCTTAAAGACCCCTCAAGGGGGTATTACATAAGGGGTGGGTATATGGTGTAGCCAGGTGATTTCACTTGGTAAGAAAGTTTGTTACTTTGTCCAAGAAGTTTGATGGATTAGTAATTGCTGCAATGGTGTGGGAAAGGCCATTCCAATCTGTTGCTGCTCGGGGGAAAAATGAACAGAAAAATGTGAGGGTGCGAGCACGTGGGCGTGACACTTGCAATTCATGTCCGCGGCGATGAGGTATGCGTGTAAGGTGAACAATGTATGGTAGAAGACAGAGATCACTGTAATAAAATTTGTGAAATAATGATAGCGTGGCAATACGATGACGAAGACAGAGATTAGATAAACCGGATTCCGCTTTCAGTGACGATACGCTAGCTCGGTAATAAAAAGTGGAATAAATTAATCTAGCAGCACCGTTTTGGACAGCTTCCAGGGCAGATGCGAGGTAGGATTTGCTCGTCCATATGCTCGCGTTGTGCCGCAAAGTGGACGAGCAAATGACGGAGAGTGACAAGGTGGACCACATACTGAAGGGCATCGCGGACGACACTTTCAACTTGCTCGTTACAACAACGTCACAATCGTCGATGTTATAATTAAGGAATGCCACCGCTTCGAAATGGCCAAAAACCGCCGAGTTAGGCAGTTTTTGGCCATTGGTTTTTGGCAATGCACCATGCCACGACCCGTACACTCTGCCCAGATCCCGCAATCCGACGGAGTGGAGAACAGCAGATAACAAGCCAATCTGCTTCTGCTGTCACCGAGTTGGCCATGTCTCCCGCTACTGCCGCAGCACTTGGACGCCCCCCCGTTGGAGCCAATTTTCTTCTTCTCCTCGGCCATACGCGGACCCCCGTCGGTATTCGCCCAGCCGTGAATACCCTGCTTCCGACGCACCTAACAGCCGCTCTACCGCGTGTTCACCGTCACCGTAACGCCGCCGTTCTCCGTCGCTCCAACCCTGCCACTATCCATCATCGACTAACTATGAATCTTCCCGGATGGAAAACTAGATTATGCAGCTCCTGGAGGTAGTGCTGCATAAAGTGCGACTGACCCACATCTTCCGTTGACGCTACCTATTAATAAGAACTTGCTGGAAGTGCATGTGGACGGTCTTTCTTAGACGGCTTTAGTTGACACTGGAGCTCAGATGTCTATAATGAGTGCTCGTCTGTGTCGCCGTCTCAAAAAAGTACTCACGCCTGCCGCAATACAAGCCGTCCGTGTCGCCGATGGTGGAACTGTAGCCGTAATTGGAATGTGTACCGCTCGCATTAGCCTTGCCGGCCGCCATGTTCCTGTTTTATTTACCGTGCTCGACAGTTGCCCTCATGACGTCATCTTCGGGATGGACTTCTTATCAACGCATTCTGATCTGATTGACTGTTCCGTCGGCACTCTCCGTTTAGAACTTCCTCTTCTCCTGAATTCTCACCCTGAACTTCCAAACAGCCTGTGCACCACTGACTTCTTCCGGATACCACCTAAAGCTCTCACATTCGTTGAATTGGCAACACCCTCTCCCATGCCCGATGGTGATTATATCGTGACGCCTATTCCTGATGTTTTCCTGGTGCGTGACATTACTATCCCACACAACGTCGTAACCGTGGCCTCTAACCGAACATATTTACCTGTTATCAATTTCGGTTTTATAAAACAAGTGCTACCTCAAAGAATATCCGTCGCCACGCTAAGACCCTTAATTGACGACCACGTCGCCTGTTTTGCGGCAGACGTATGTCCCAATCACCTATGTCACTCGCAGGATGACACTTGCCTGGATGCAACATTATGCTCCATGATCGCCCCGGACCTCGAACCTGAGAAGTCAGCCGCGCTCTGCCACCTTCTGGCTTCATACCGCGACATATTCGACATAGACAGCCGTCCACTAGGCCAGACTTCACTAGTCAAGCACCGCATTAACACAGGTGATTCTCATCCCATTCATCAGCGACCATACCGGGTGTCTGCCACCGAGCGTGAAGTAATTCAACAAGAAGTCGCCAAGATGTTAGCCAAGGGAATCATTGAGCCCTCTTCGAGCCCTTGGGCGTCCCCCGTTGTGCTCGTTAAAAAGAAAGATAGCATGTGGCGCTTCTGCACGGATTACCGCCATCTGAATAGAATCACAAAAAAGGACGTTTACCCTTTACCCCGCATCGATGACGCTCTCGATTGTCTCCACTGCGCTCGATACTTTTCTTCAATAGACCTACGTTCCGGCTACTGGCAGATTGCTGTCGACGAAAAAGACCAAGAGAAGACTGCATTTGTAACTCCAGATGGCCTACATCAGTTCAAGGTTATGCCGTTTAGGCTATGCAACGCCCCAGCCACGTTCGAGCGCATGATGGACTCTCTGCTACAAGGGTTCAAATGGTCAACATGTCTCTGTTATCTTGACCATGTTGTAGTATATTCTCCAACATTTCAGACCCACCTTCAGCGTTTGTCAGCTATTCTCGACATATTCCGCACTGCAGGTCTTCAACTGAACCCGTCGAAGTGCCACTTCGGACACCGGCAAATTACAGTGTTGAGTCACCTTGTCGACGCATC